TTGAAAATGGAAAGTATAATAATTTACCAATGGTAATCTCAAAATTTGACAATGGAATCAAACAGCCCCATGAAAATAAATCGCACTGGAATAATAAGAAAAAATGGCACGATTCAAGCAGTAACAAACAGAACCAGAAGGGGTCATCGCGCCTGGCAAAAAACTACTACTCAACGAGCACGTTTAATGACGATCTAGAGGATACTGTAGGTTATCCGATAACAAATAAGTATCATGATACATTTGATGAGGATGTGGATCAATATTCGACATGGCATTGAGATCAATATAAATGGCTTTTCGGCGAATGTTTGTTGTTGTTTTTTTTTCTTCAAATTTGTCAATCCCAAGAAGGTTACTGATTTAGGAATCGACATCACAGTGCCCTGGGTATAGCCCTATGTGCCCTGTTTACTGCAGCAAATGTCTTAAGAGATTGCTCTAACCCTTTCTTTCCAAAGATGGTGAGCTTAAACACAGTAAATGTTTCAACTGGTGATGACTGAGACACTGCGATACATAGGCACTGTGGGAGTTAGGCACTGTTGGACATGGGCACTCTGGGACATAGGCACTGTGAGACATAGGCGCTGTAGGACATAGGCACTGTGGGACATGGGCACTCTGGGACATAGGCACTGTGAGACATAGGCACTGTGAAACATAGGCACTGTGGGATATAGGCACTATGGGACATAAGCACTATGAGACAAAAACTCTGTGGGACATAGACAATGTGGGACATAGGCACTGTGGGACATAGGCGCTGTGGGACATAGACACTGTGGAACAAAGACACTGTGGGACATAGGCGCTGGGGGACATAGACACTGTGGAACATAGGCACTGGGGGACATAGACACTGTGGGACATAGACACTGGGGGACATAGACACTGTGAGACATAGACACTGGGGGACATAGACACTGTGGGACATAGGCGCTGGGGGACATAGACACTGTGGGACATAGGCACTGGGGGACATAGACACTGTGGGACATAGGCGCTGTGGGACATAGACACTGTGGAACAAAGACACTGTGGGACATAGGCGCTGGGGGACATAGACACTGTGGGACATAGGCACTGGGGGACATAGACACTGTGGGACATAGACACTGGGGGACATAGACACTGTGAGACATAGACACTGGGGGACATAGACACTGTGAGACATAGGCGCTGGGGGACATAGACACTGTGGAACATAGGCGCTGGGGGACATAGACACTGTGGGACATAGGCACTGGGGGACATAGACACTGTGGGACCTAGACACTGGGGGACATAGGCGCTGTGGGACATAGACACTGGGGGACATAGACACTGTGGGACATAGGCGCTGGGGGACATAGACACTGTGGGACATAGGCACTGGGGGACATAGACACTGTGGGACATAGGCGCTGTGGGACATAGACACTGTGGAAAAAAGACACTGTGGGACATAGGCGCTGGGGGACATAGACACTGTGGGACATAGGCACTGGGGGACATAGACACTGTGGGACATAGACACTGGGGGACATAGACACTGTGAGACATAGACACTGGGGGACATAGACACTGTGAGACATAGGCGCTGGGGGACATAGACACTGTGGGACATAGGCACTGGGGGACATAGACACTGTGGGACATAGGCGCTGGGGAACATAGACACTGTGGGACATAGGCACTGGGGGACATAGACACTGTGGGACCTAGACACTGGGGGACATAGGCGCTGTGGGACATAGGCGCTGGGGGACATAGACACTGTGGGACATAGGCACTGGGGGACATAGACACTGTGGGACATAGGCAATGGGGGACATAGACACTGTGAGACATAGGCGCTGGGGGACATAGACACTGTGGGACATAGGCACTGGGGGACATAGACACTGTGAGATATAGACACTGTGGGACATAGACACTGTGGGACATAGACACTGGGGGACATAGACACTGGGGGACATAGACACTGTGAGACATAGGCGCTGGGGGACATAGACACTGTGGGACATAGGCACTGGGGGACATAGACACTGTGGGACATAGGCGCTGGGGGACATAGACACTGTGGGACATAGGCACTGGGGGACATAGACACTGTGAGATATAGACACTGTGGGACATAGACACTGTGGGACATAGACACTGGGGGACATAGACACTGGGGGACATAGACACTAGGGGACATAGACACTGGGGGACATAGACACTGTGGGACATAGACACTGGGGGACATAGACACTGGGGGACATAGACACTGGGGGTCATAGACACTGGGGGACATAGACACTGGGGGACATAGACACTGTGGGACATAGACACTGGGGGACATAGACACTGGGGGACATAGACACTGTGGGACATAGACACTGTGGGACATAGGCGCTGTGGGACATAGACACTGGGGGACATAGACACTGTGGGACATAGACACTGTGGGACATAGGCGCTGTGGGACATAGGAGCTGTGGGACATAGACACTGGGGGACATAGACACCGGGGGACATAGACACTGGGGGACACAG